TTGACTGATCGATTGATTCATTGATTGATTCATGCATTTATTCAGTCATTCATTCATTGACGTACTCCTTGAATCAAAATCCTTATAATTATTTTCCCTGATTTATATTTATTCAATAAATGGCTGCTTCTTTGACTTCAGATCAAATGATATTATTATTTTGTACTGTCCACAGATAACTGTATCAATCCTTGTCTGTTGGTTGGCACTACAAAGGGACATGTGTATATTATTGTTATTAACATGCCACCAGCTGAAGAAAGACTTTTGCAGCCAATACTCACGATWGTCACAGGTAAAAAAAAACACCTTGAAAGTCCTTCTTCTTCTAGCAAAATTGAGCATTTTCAGTATTGAAAACTCAATAAATAACCTGCTAACAGATACTCAAAAACAAAAGGGAAGCTCTGCAAAATTTGTGCATTCTCTTGTTTAGCTAAGGATGTTGATGCATATTTACATGTACTGGTTTAAACTGGTCTAGAATGTAAGTCTGCAATTAGAAATCAAGATGTACCTGRTGAGCAAAACTGAGTCCAAATGTTTCATACCGAAAACTGAATGAACTTCTTAGTTCAAGAAGTTTCAAGAAAGACTGAAGATTATGAGTGCTCAAATAAATTAATACACAATACCTGCAGAGTTTTTCTTGTGGTTTTAGAGATTTTTCTTGCATAGCACTTTTTGTGATGCTCTTGCTTTATAACTAGGCACAGTATTTCGACCCAAGTCAGGGATGGTAATGTCGATATCGCTGTTGGATCATCAAGGGCACTTGTTTCCATCTCCATTGAGATTCTGGACTGACAAAAGAGATGAAAATCAACTGAAAAGTAAGGGTATCATCATTATCATCATCATCATTATCATCATCATCATTATCATCATCATTATCATCATCATCATTATCATCATCATCATAACTGTTTATCAAATATTTTGTAGAAACAGTCACTGCTAAAGAGTGCTCAGACAGACATTTTCTTGTTGTAAATACTGAGAGGGAAGCCAAGGTATGATATTATTATTATTCTATAGAGTTTTCATAGAGTTTTCCTTATTTTTCTCATTTTCAAAAATTTGTGGTGCCTCTATAAATGCTTACTTTGTGACCGTAAAGAAGAATTATTACTTTGAAACTGTTATAATATCAAGTAAAAATTAAATAAAATTCAAGTATGTTTGAATATTGGTGTTAATAATATTCTCTRTGTTATTAAAAGAGTACAATCTTTTTTTATAGGTTTATCAGTTGCCACCTACTCATACAAACCCAACAACATACTCAAAAACATGTGTCGCTGATGATTCCTCTGTAGTCTTGGCCTCTGAGGTCATTATTATTGAAGGTTAGCTTTGTACACTAAAAACACAACAGATTATAGGAATTACATGGAAAGGACGCATAATAGAATGTATGGGAAAAGGGGGGTATGAGAAGGGAAATGTCAGGAGGTTATTTCAGTGTATGACTATTATCTCACACAAACTTTTAATTAAGAAATATAAAACGGCGCACGTGTCTCTGTCCTCTGAAATAAACATGGTGGGAGTTCGAAAAACACGAGAGAAGCAAGCTTAGGAACACGAGCGTAGCGAGTGTTTCTCTTGCTTCTCGAGTGTTTTTCAACTCCCACCGTGTTTATATCAGAGGACAGAGACACAAGCGGCCGTTTTATATTTCTTTTATAAAATTTTTCGAGCGAAAAGAAAATTTTGCTGGTAAGCCGTGTCTCTGTCCTCTGATATAAACACGGTCRTCAGCCAATCAGAGCGCGCGTTATATATGAAAAATTTTATAATAAATATTAATGTTCTTTTGTGTGTCGCAGGCAGTAGCTGTTTAATGTGTCTAACAAGTCTTGGACAACTGATGGCCTTCAGTCTACCCAGTCTGAGCATGCTCATTAATGCTGAATGCAGCTTTTTATTGACAGATTTTAGGTCAGTGGTTTTCCATCTAAWACATGAGTAAAACCACAAAATCAGAACGGCCATGTTATGAAGCTCTTTGATGAAGACTGATCATCCCATAACGCTAGAAATATTAATGATCATTATTAATTATGAATATTTTTATTCTATAGATATCTGAGAACCTTGAAGTTTTCTGATGGTGGCTTAGCCATMACAATGTGTTCGCCATATGAAATTCAAAAATTATGCATGTTTACAAGAAACGAGTGAGTGCACTGAATGAGTGATTTTCTGTTGAACATGAACAAATAGTAAGACTAACTTTTATTTAAAAACTCACTGGATATGTCATTTTATTTCCATTGTAGATAAACAATTATTTTAGATTTTGATATTTTGAAAAGATCAAATGCTAGTAGTTAAATGTGGTTGTGTTTTATTGCAGTAAATATCAGATGTCAGGCCAAATGTCATTATTTCGACCAATGGATATGCCAGAAAGACCAACCAAAGGATTTTTTACAAGTTTATTTAGCTCTCAAGCCTCTCCTTTAGACAGAGAAGAACTGTGT